AATAGAAAAGATTAGCAAGTGAAATACCTTAAATCTGAAAACCGTTTTGCCCTCATACAGGAAAAAGCATGTGTGAAGATCCAGACATAAGAATCTGTCTTTCCATCAAGCAGTTGAGCTCATTTTTTATTAATGTAAACAGGAACAAAATAAACAGTAACAAAGTAAACTTCAGACAACCCCTTGGAGTTTAAGTATGGAAAAAAAGAAACCATGACTATACCCTGGTAGAATTTCTTATGTTGCTGAAAAAGCACTTGAACATTAAATTACGAATCACTACTTTCCTAAAATACCTTTTTACACCCTAGGGAAAAATTATAAAAGAGTCTGTTCTCTGATGTTTATAACTACTTTTTGTAGTCATCCTTCGAGTACAGTTCTTGCAAGAGGCTCCTCTCCTTTCCTTCCTTTGTTTTTTTTAAATTTTTACAAACTCCCAACAGATTCACTACCTTGAGAAAACTAGAGGATATTTATGACCGAACAACAGTTCTATAGACACCCAAAGGCAATTATCTCTTATATAATATGCCTTAGGCAAACTTCAACTACTTTTTAAGAAGGTTAAACCTCCTCAAGAATTTTATCCAGGCACAAAGTTTGCATTGTCTACTTTTACATTTCCTAGCCTTTTCTCCTTCTAGATCCCCTCAATCCCAATTTTGTCTACCATTCTCTAACTTGGAAAACACTACCTGGCCTCAGCTAATATAGTCAGGAGCCCTTGTAAAATATGCATCCCTGTGCCCTCCTGTTCAGCATACTATACTTACAGCCCCACTGTGTCATTGCTTTCAGGCTCCCAGTCCACGTTCTTATTGTAAGCTACCCTAAAAAGTGTTTCTCTTAGTTTAGGTAATATTGGTATATAGTATATACTAGAAGTTCATACCTACCTTTGAATCTCCAAAGTTCTTTTTCCCTTTTTCAGGTGAATACCCAATAACTAGGAATTAATTTGTACTTAGGGTAACTATTTTCCAAAGTATTCAGTCTCTACTCAAAAAGACTTCAGCTGTTAATTATATTAATTATTGATATTTTGCTTGTATTTTTTTAGATAAAAAATTTCCAGAGAGGCATAAAAAATATTTGAAAATATGACAATGAAAATAATAAACATGATCTTTGAGTGTTTGCCCACATAACTCAGGGCTTATCTGAAAGGTTCTCCGTGTCATGCAGAAGAATACCTCCTTTATAATTAAGTCGTGCAAATGCTGTAGAATTGTGATCAGAAACAAGTTTCCTATTTTTTACTTCTATGTTTTTGACAAAATAATAATATATTTCCCCTTGTTCATTTTTTATGTTACAGACAAATGATAACCCATCCATTGTCAGAGAATGAACTTTAACCTTTTAAAATGGAATCAGAATAGAAATATCAACATAATATAATCAAATACCTTCTGAGCTCCTACAATTTTCATAGCATTCTGCTTACAGGTTACAAGAAATATGATACTTTTTTACCTTCAGTGTACTTACAGGTGATTCAAAAAATAAAGTACACAGAAAAAAATAACAAGGTGGTTCATGGTTCAAGAGTCATAGCAAGGCAATTGTTCATTCATTCAACAAACATTTACTACATTCTTACTATGTGCTAAGGGATTCTGGATAGTTAAAACATTACAGTTAAAACAGAAATGGTCATTGTCCTCCAGGGAGATAAAGCTGGAGAGTTAGGTAGTAATTGGGTGATGTGAGACCTTGTTCTTTATCCTAAGAACAGTGGGAAAGCATTGAAGATTTTGAAACAAGGGATTGACATTATCAGTTGTGTATTTTTATTTTTTTATTGAGGTACAGTAAAATGCACAAATCTTAGTGTACAGCTTAAATTTTGATGTGTATATACTCACATAACCAGTTGTGTATTTTTTTAAATCACCCTAAATACCATAAAGAGAATATATTGGAAGGAAACAAACTGTGACCTGGAAGACATAAAAAATCTATGCAGTATTTCAGGCAATAGACAAGGTCTTAGGGTGGTGGTGATGGTAGAAAAGGAGGAGAAGAAAGAGGGAGATACAGAGATAAAAGGTGCAAAGCAGATAGATTTGAAAGTTATTTAGGAAATAAAATAAAAAAGATTTGATAACCAGATACTGGGACTGAGGGGTAAAAGAAGGATCAAATCCACTCTGATTCCTTTTTAAAAGGTTGAAGATCTTGGTTTTTGGCTTATCCAACTGATGTTGATGGTGCTGTTTACAAAAACAGGGAACAATAGAGGAAGGCTATATTTGAATGGTAGGTGTTTATGATTACAGTTATGGACGAATTCAGTTTGAGGGGCTTTTAGGACATCCAACTTGACATGTCAACTGTTCAATTAGATATAAACATATGGAGATAAAACTAACGATAAAATTAGAGAGTCATCATAATGACAGCATCGTATACTAGTATATACAGTGAAAAATAAAGTAGTTTAAATCGGTGGTCTCTCACTGAATTAGAAGAATCTGCAAACATTTCCTGGGGGAAGAGGACTGGATCATGAAAACATAATATAAATAAAAAGAGTAAAATAGAAATGAGTGAAATGGTAAGCACACAAAAATATAAATAGGTTTCAGAAAACTTAGTTGCAAGTAACAGAGATACCAATCCAAAAAAAAAAAAGGGATCTATAAACTCACACATAACTGATAAGTTCCAGGTATTCCACCTACAAGCAAGTCTGTGTCCAGTGGTGAAACAACATGCTCTGAACCCAGTTCTTCTTTTCCTATTTTTCAACTGTTTCCTTGGTGTTGACTCAGTTCTGGCAGGTTCTCCTCTCATGATCCCAAAATGGCAGCTAGTAGTTTCAGACACTGTATATTCATTCACATGCTCATGTACAGCAAGAAGAACAAAGATTTTTTCTTATTTGTTTGTTTGTTTATGCAGTAGGGCAATGAAAACTCCAGAATGGAGATCAATGGCCCCATAAGGTTATGTGCTCATTCTTAGTATTGTAAGTACAGATACATGATTATCTTAAGCTAGTTAGGGTACACCTCTGGAGTGGACATAAATCCTTGCACCAAACCATCTAGAGTGTTAGGGAAGAGGGATAGTAAATCTAGAAGAATCTATATTATAGGAAAGTGTAAATGCCAAGTTAAAGATCTTGGACATAATCCAATAAACTTAAAGGAGCTCTTGTGTTCTGAACAGAAGAGGGATCCAATGAAATGTTTTAAGAAGTTAAGTCCTAAGATAACTGTAGGACATACTGTAGTGTTTAAGAACAAGAGAAATCTGTTCAAGAGTCTATAGCAGGCATCTAGGAAAGAGATAGTGAAAGCCCAGATGTGGTTAAGAAATGCTGATGAAAGGAAGACAGTAATGAAGTGAAGGATGTGAACCATACTTCAAAGAATTAACAGGATTTAGAAAGAAATGAATAAACTTTGTGGTGGAATTTCAAAAACTTCCACTGAAATTTTGGTTACTGTGATACCTTCGGCACTGAGACAAAGATGATCTCTTTTTTTTAGCATAATATTGGACCGCCAAACCTAGCTCTAAACTAGCCTTTCCATTTCATTTTCTTTTAATTAGTTACCCTCATATTGTGATCCATCATTTTCCACATGCATAAACTTCCTAGAAATCAAAAAGAAGGCATGTTCCAAATTTTGTCAGAATGAAGGCTGTCTGTCCTTGACTCCATAGAATGAGAACTTGAAGATTACTCTGCAATGTAAAAAAAATAGCTATCACTATAGTCATAATAGCGGCATTTACTTCTTAACAAATATTTTTGGAGCACTTTTTGTCAGCCTGAAATGATTCTGTTTGCAAGCAACAGAAAACCCAGTAGTTTAAAAAAGTAGAATTCCAGAGGAAGCAGTTAGTAGTCTTGGTTCAGCTGCTCCTCAATAATAAAGCCTATATCTGTGTGTTTCTATCGATTTTCATTGTGTTTTACATCATGGTGACAAGATGATGGCTCTACCTCCAAGTATCACAACTTCATTCAAGGCAAGCAATTGCGTGAAATAAAGAAAAAGAACAGGAATCTTTCTGTTTATCAAAAAAACAAATATCTGCCTGAATTTCTTACCCAGCATACTTCTTACAGTTCATGGGTCAGAATGGGATAACATCACCTATTCATAGAAGTAAGGGAGACTGATAAAGTGAACGTTTGCTTTTCTGTTCTCTATTTGTGAGACATAGCAAAGAAGAAAACTGAGAATGGTTTTTGGGTTGTGAAACAGTAGGTTCTAACATGAAAATCTATTGTTCTGTAGCATACTCTGTTCTTACGTGTGTATTACACTCTTGTCATTTTGTATTTGACTTTGTATTCATCTATGTATGTTGTTTCCTCTACCCTTTAGGAGAATATTTGCATGATTAAATACCAATTTTTTAAATAGATGTTTTATTCTCTTTTTCCATTAGCCATTAACAACATCTGCTTAACTCATTGAGCAAAGATCCTAGAATTTTGATTTTCCTGAGTAGGCAACACGTATTTACTAGAAAGAATATTATTTTTATTTATGTCTAATATCTTAGTAAGCATTACCCTGTAACAAAAGAAAATACAGTGAAAATACCAGATGATTCCATGGGGATTTAGTAAAACTGTCACATTTTATCTTTTATGGGTTATGATATAGTCTCATGTAAAGATATATTTCCAAGAGACCTCATCAACTTTGACTTAGAAAGAAATTCAGCACCACAATATAGCACCTGCATATCAAAAATAAATTTAGTAATGCCGCTTGATGCAATGTTTAGAGAAAATAGTCAATTAAAGCAATATGAATTCAACCAGAATCCTCTGCAGGCAGCAGCATCATGCAATTCTGACTTCACAATGACATGAAATTTTTAAATGACAACTGTGCTAAATCAAGAAGCAGCAAACACAGGCCAAGTTTAAATTTAGTAACACTGCTAGTTTACTGAAAATAACCTCCATAGCAGATTCTCTATGAATTTCAGGTGACCGACTACTTGTTTTTCTGTTTGTTCAGAGATGATCAGGTACCCAGACACTTCAGCATTGATGTCTTCCCATCTCAGTGGCATTTCTGGTGCCCACCTCAGGAATCTCCTTGGCCAACCTTGAAACACTTGGAAGTTAAACAGAATCCACTGCATAGATTCTTCTTGAAAATTTTCATCATAAATGTTCAGAACTTTCTGAATAAGCATAAGGACTTGAAGGTAAGGGAATTTTATAAGTAACTCACATTCTTGTGTAACTCTTAATTAGGTCAAAGGTAAATATTTAATATACTTTTTAAAATACACAAAAATAAACGAGTAATGGAATAAAAGGAAATGGTCATCACTGTGCAGTTCCGCAGCAAAGAGGGAAATAAAATACAAAGTTTTAAAATTGTTATTTGTCATGTAAATGTAAGCAAGGCACATTGGTAAACTGGATATTTGATAATCAGTTTCACACAGAAAAGCATGACATACAGTGGTTGTCAGATTTTAATGTGCATATGAGTCACATGAGGGGGGAGGAATTCCTTAAAATGCTGATGCCTGGGGATATTTCACAGAGTTAGATTCACTAGGCCTGGGATGTGACCCAACAATCTGCATTTTTACAATTACTCACCTATAAATGATCCTGATGAAGGTGGACCTTGGACCTTGGAGAAACACTGAAAATGTCATTCAAACAATAATACTTATTTTCAAACTTTATATTAAATGTGGTTTTAAGTTGTATTTCCTTCAGTCACAAGAATAAGAAAGGCATATTTCATGCAGAGGAGCTAAATTAGTACTCCCCTTTTGATCCTCCAAATTGAATTAATTCTCTTTAATATTCCTTTTTAAAGTTCAATATGATGAGCTAATTCCCAGGTGTCCCTATCTCAACTTCAGATTGACAATCCTGTCATTGCTTTCTTTAGCTATTTCACTCTTCTGTGTAGTGTTTTACTCAAATGTTTATGCTTATTGGATCTAATTCCAGGAAATATCTAAAAGGTGAAAATAATGAGTTATTACCGGGGCTGGCTAAGCATTTCTACATTTTTGAGGGGTTTTTCTTTTTCTCTTCATTTTGAAAACTCAGCCTTAGATTTCAAAAGCACATATCTGCACAATCATTGTTAGTTATTCATTCTCCTTTGCTGATAAACACATATAAATAATGTAATATATTTATAACAGGTTATATGTACATTTATTGAACATTGCTCCATTGTATTTCCATTTCCTGTATCTCAGTTAGCAACTCCATCTTTCTTTTTTGCAATTTGAAATTCATAAAAGGTTTGCTTTTTTTATTCCAGTGAAAAAAGCAATTAATAGAGATATATTCGGGTCTTCAGTTGTGATGATTCTTTAGATATAATATGATATTATTTTTATAGTAAAGACAAATGTTTAATCACAATCCTATAAATTTAAGGCTTGTAGACATTTTCTTCTATCACTCTTTGTGTGCACTTGTTCATATTGTATAGAATCTGTTGTACGTAAAATACCAAAAGGCAAAAATAAGCCCTTAATCAAAAAGGATTATATCTCTATAGTGCCCAGTAGCTACACATATTAGCTATTATTATTACACAAAAAATGAATATAATCATATGCATAAAATAAAGCAGCACTCTTTTTACTTTATCAAAATTAAAGATTTACAGAATTGGATTAATTATAATAAAGGATTTTGCATGCATCTCTTCTCACCTATTCTCTATGAATTTCAGGTGACCGACTACTTGTTTTTCTGTTTGTTCAGAGATGATCAGGTACCCAGACACTTCAGCATTGATGTCTTCCCATCTCAGTGGCATTTCTGGTGCCCACCTCAGGAATCTCCTTGGCCAACCTTGAAACACTTGGAAGTTAAACAGAATCCACTGCATAGATTCTTCTTGAAAATTTTCATCATAAATGTTCAGAACTTTCTGAATAAGCATAAGGACTTGAAGGTAAGGGAATTTTATAAGTAACTCACATTCTTGTGTAACTCTTAATTAGGTCAAAGGTAAATATTTAATATACTTTTTAAAATACACAAAAATAAACGAGTAATGGAATAAAAGGAAATGGTCATCACTGTGCAGTTCCGCAGCAAAGAGGGAAATAAAATACAAAGTTTTAAAATTGTTATTTGTCATGTAAATGTAAGCAAGGCACATTGGTAAACTGGATATTTGATAATCAGTTTCACACAGAAAAGCATGACATACAGTGGTTGTCAGATTTTAATGTGCATATGAGTCACATGAGGGGGGAGGAATTCCTTAAAATGCTGATGCCTGGGGATATTTCACAGAGTTAGATTCACTAGGCCTGGGATGTGACCCAACAATCTGCATTTTTACAATTACTCACCTATAAATGATCCTGATGAAGGTGGACCTTGGACCTTGGAGAAACACTGAAAATGTCATTCAAACAATAATACTTATTTTCAAACTTTATATTAAATGTGGTTTTAAGTTGTATTTCCTTCAGTCACAAGAATAAGAAAGGCATATTTCATGCAGAGGAGCTAAATTAGTACTCCCCTTTTGATCCTCCAAATTGAATTAATTCTCTTTAATATTCCTTTTTAAAGTTCAATATGATGAGCTAATTCCCAGGTGTCCCTATCTCAACTTCAGATTGACAATCCTGTCATTGCTTTCTTTAGCTATTTCACTCTTCTGTGTAGTGTTTTACTCAAATGTTTATGCTTATTGGATCTAATTCCAGGAAATATCTAAAAGGTGAAAATAATGAGTTATTACCGGGGCTGGCTAAGCATTTCTACATTTTTGAGGGGTTTTTCTTTTTCTCTTCATTTTGAAAACTCAGCCTTAGATTTCAAAAGCACATATCTGCACAATCATTGTTAGTTATTCATTCTCCTTTGCTGATAAACACATATAAATAATGTAATATATTTATAACAGGTTATATGTACATTTATTGAACATTGCTCCATTGTATTTCCATTTCCTGTATCTCAGTTAGCAACTCCATCTTTCTTTTTTGCAATTTGAAATTCATAAAAGGTTTGCTTTTTTTATTCCAGTGAAAAAAGCAATTAATAGAGATATATTCGGGTCTTCAGTTGTGATGATTCTTTAGATATAATATGATATTATTTTTATAGTAAAGACAAATGTTTAATCACAATCCTATAAATTTAAGGCTTGTAGACATTTTCTTCTATCACTCTTTGTGTGCACTTGTTCATATTGTATAGAATCTGTTGTACGTAAAATACCAAAAGGCAAAAATAAGCCCTTAATCAAAAAGGATTATATCTCTATAGTGCCCAGTAGCTACACATATTAGCTATTATTATTACACAAAAAATGAATATAATCATATGCATAAAATAAAGCAGCACTCTTTTTACTTTATCAAAATTAAAGATTTACAGAATTGGATTAATTATAATAAAGGATTTTGCATGCATCTCTTCTCACCATTGTTCTCACTGATAAGATTGCCATACCTGATCATAAAATCCTGAAATTTGTAATATACAAGATTATAAAATCCTCAAAAATGTAGTACATAAGTTTATGGTTCAATGACGTCCCCAAACAAGATTTAATAAAGCTTTTAGGGCAAATCTTTGTAATATTTCAACTTCAGGAAAACATAGAAACTGCCTTTTGTGTTCTATCTTGCTCTTTTTAAAAAATTTTCCCTTTTTTTAAAACTTTTCAAAGGAGCAGGTGGAGAGAGAATGGAATTGTGTCCTCAAGTGAGTCACGTTCATTATCATTGGCGTATTTATCTTAAACTGTGGATCCCTAAAGAAAACTTAATCTGTAGTTTCAGGGAACCTGAATGAAGCAGCCTCATACTCAGGAAGTAAAATATTCAATAAAAGAATACATTACAGAAACTTCATAGAGTCATAGAAGCATAAAGTTTTAGAGCAGAAATGGACCATTGAGATTTTGTATCTGGTCCCCTCATGTATAATAGCATTATTTTCTCTTCCAAACTTTCTGTATAAAAGCTTAATACAAAGAGCAGTAAATATCAATCTGGCCAAGTATGACTTATTAACAAGGAAAAACTGTTTTTTAAAGGAAGTGTTTTTCCATAATGATTTCTTGGATAAGGAAAATCAGAGGAAATTTTCCTCCAAAATGAAGATTGAGGAAGTGAAGAAAATACCCAGCTTATAAATGTAGTTGAACGTAAAATCATTAATTATTCTTGTTGTTAGTAGATAATCTTTTATGTCAGGAACCTAGAAATGAAAACAGCAAACTGTAGTTCAGGTTTGGTCAGCTTTACACGGAAATCTGATACTAATGGAGAAAAAGAACTAGAAGATACAGCTTTAGAATAGAAGAACCATCTGGAACCATTCAGTATAGGAGAAAGGAGATTTAAATGTGTAAAAATCTCTGGGGAGTGTTAGTGTTATTATGAAACAGTATAATAATGATATTTGAAATATCCAAAAAGATTAAAATATGTTATTCTCAGTTTAAGAAGTTGGAAAGTCATTAAAATTTGTGTAGTAAAGTATAGTTATTGATCTGGGGAAATGCTCATAATATACTATAAATGAAAATAAGTCACAAATTATATTATTATGTATTCCCATTTTTATTAAAAAAGCTACAGATGCATAGGAAGAAAACTGAAATGATATACATCAAAATATTATTAATGGTAATGTTAATTTGATGAAATTATGGTTAATTTTCATTGCTTCTCAGAGTTTGTAAAACTTTCTGAATTAGGTGTTAAAAATACAATTTTGAAATATTTTTAAGGGCTGGGAAAATATTCAGTTATCTGGGAAATTCACTTTTATAGATTTTAATCAAATTATGTAAGGTAGTCCTGCTAATGTTTGTTTTATAAAGCCTTAAAGCAAGGCTCCTGTATCTTGTAATATTAAACTGAATATAAGAGGAGTTCTTCCAATTAGATTAAAATAACTTTTAGATATAACTCTTCATTTGTGGAATATTGTAGTAGACTAAAATTCTCAAGTTTCCCTCTTCATTAAGTCCTGATAATTTCTCATTATGGTGATTAATTACCTAGAAATATTCTTTACTTCTTGTATCAGATTAATTCCAACATGCTTTAAGAAATTTATGACTATAGTAGTTTGCTCTCTTTGGAAGATGATTTTATATGTTTGTTTGCATTACTGTTAATATATCTTTGTTCTTTAAATCTCTAGTGAAACATACGGTTAGTCTCACCATTATTACTACCAGCTGTGGTTGGCCTATGATTTTGTTCATTCTGGCTGAATCCAAAGTAATTAGCTCTTTAGTTTAATGACAATATTTGTTAATGGGTTTTTAGGGCCAAATTCTGCTGTTTGAGAGTGGGTGGTGTATTTGAAGATAGAATCTGGCCCTTATGTTTTAAGCATAGGCTGTGTAATTTGATTTCAGAATAATGGTTTAGAGAGTTTGGGGTAGGAAAACCAGATCTGCATTTATCTGAAATTTCTGTTTCAAGAAACAGAAAATGAAAGTGACAATTTATGTAAATGAATAACAAACCCACTGAAAATTCTCTGATACAGCTATGCTTCATGAGTTGTTCCAAACATAGTTGAAATAAGAAAGGAAATGATAATTTTCAAGCAGACATTAGGTAGAATCTCTTATGTGAAGGGGCATACACTGAGTCCTTTAAAAATGAAACATTTTGATCACTGTATTATACAAAGATATATTGCAAAATGATTACTGTAATAAGGTTAGTTCACACATTGATCACCTCATACATAATTAAGAGAGTAGATAATTCAAGTTCTCACCACACCCACTACACCCACACAAAAAAATTATCACTGTGTTTTTGAACGACTCAGTGAAGTGGAAAGAGTCTTTGCTTGGGGCTCACTGGAGTTCAATGTCAGACTCAGCTCCCTGGTAGTGATATGACCTTGGGGAAATCCTTACCTCTCCCTAAGCCTCATTTTCTTCAACCTAAAATGAGGTCTTTGTACCAGATGATCCCAGTGGTCCCTTCTAACTTTAAAATAACTATAACTTGCTTCAAAAGAGCACTATAAGGAAGGCACAAGGAGGGCAGGAAGATGCAATGACTTGAATTAACACATAACAAATTATTAAGTCTACTAAAAGGTATTTTGGAGACATTTTGGCCTTAAGAACTCTCCTTCAATGACTTGTACTTTTGTCCTGGAGAAGAGAAATATTTGGGGGTTTTATGTAGAATAAACTATAGGATGCTCTATTAGGCATTTCAAAGACAGCAATTTTGGCAAAACTTAAAAAAAAAAACACCCACCTGCTGATAGTTGAGATATCCAACAATGAAATAGGATGCCTTGGGAGATCATAAATTCAGTATCACTGTTGGATAGAAAGTGAATACCAAGGGTTTTATGACCAGTTAAATTGTCTTTCAAGGTATAAAAGCTAAAGGCAAATATTCTGAACATAGAGAACCTCAGGAAACATTGTTACCATGATCCCTTCTTGCAGAAACTATTAGAGGACAAACTCAATCCAAGAGGTGACTGTGAAAGCTACTGCAAAAGAGCTGATTGTGAGCATTGACCTTATTTAATTCTCAAACTAAATCTAAAATAAATATGTAGATTAGGGTGACAGAATATAGCATAAAAGTATAATATTCACTAGAACTAAAGCAACTAACAAAATTAGGAGCATGCAACAGGAAGAAGTTGGTGCATATGCACCAGCTGGTTGCTTTATTCTCAATATCTTGGAATGAGTGGGTATCACTTAAACATAGTAACTCAAGTCATAGAAGTAGAAGCATATTTCAGAGTAGAAAAAAAAGACCCTAAGAAAGATCATGATATTGCCCAACATTAGGTGGCAAAAAGGTGGAAAAAAGTGCTCCTTTTTCTGTCATGAATAATGGTGAAATAATAAATATTCTAAAGGTAGAGAAGATCATGGTTACTATATGAAGTTATAAACTTCACATATAGGTTATTATATGAATTTATCAGCTTATAAAATAGAAGAAAATGTGCACCCTATTTAACATTCTTAAAAAGCTACATACAAATATTAAGCAAGACAGACCATATAATGAAAGATTTTTCAGAACCTTTAACAGAGGACAAAATATTATATCACAATATCTCTTTTATAGCATTCATATGAATAAATGTAGAGAAATGTATTTCCTTAAAAGAAAATATTTCCAGATTAGCTCATAATGCAGAATCAAATTCAAAGCTGTATACAAGGATACAACCAAAACAAAGTTACTCAAAAATTTAAAAACAAAAGAGTAAACAAAGGTGTACTTAGAATATTAGTATCAGAAAAAGTGAAACTTAAGGCCAAAAGAACTGCCTTGCCAATGGGTTTCAGCCCCGGGCAAGTTCGCTATGGATTCAGTGTGACCAAAGAAATTGACAGCAGAACGTTCTTTGGGGTGAAAGGGTTTATTACCCAGCTTGTTCTCCTGCTGTAGGTCAAACACTAGCGTCTCTGCCTCCGCACAGAGCACTGGGCTGAGCTCTCTATATAGCACAATAGTGGCTTATTGCCTAAACATGTAGAAGCGGTAGCTCAGCAACAGGCCAGTTACATTTATCAGGTAGTTTAAGTTCAGTGAGGATCTTGGCCATAGGAACCCCAACTTCCCCACACTCCACCCCTCCAGGATTCTTGCCTTACAATCTGCATGCTTTCAATCTTCCGCAATGGTCCCGGTGCGAGAAAGTTGGACCACTGTAACCGGATTTCACAATAGCAGTAGAGGATAACAACAACTTAGAGATAATAACAAAAATTATAATAATCCTTTAGCCAGAGGAGATTCCTAATAACAAAAATTATAATAATCCTCAAGCCAGAAGAAATTCCCAATCCACAAAGACTTTAGGGGTGATAAGACACATGTTTTAATGCCACCAACATAGGCATATCTTGTCCATCAGGTAGGAAGCATGCAAGAGAGTGGTCCTGTGACAAGACTGTAGCAGGAAGGGGTCCCTTCCAGGTCTAATATACCATACTTTTACTCCTTTCCCCCTGGGGGTTACTGAAGGGTCTATATATAGTGCTAGTGGAGGTGCATTCACTGGCCATAATGATAAAACAAAACTCCCCGGTAAGATGCTCCAGCATTCTGGCCTTTCAGGATATACTACTGTTATCTTTGGCGGCCACTCTGCAGTTATTCCAGGAATACAAGGAGGCCAGCTTCCAGGACTTGTATCCAAGGTGCCAGGAGAGCCAGCCATCATTGGTCCATGTGTAGAAAGGTCCAAGGCCACTTCCACTCAATGGAGTGTCCAGGGTTCAGTGCAGTTGGTGCTGGCAGCAAGATGTTATTCTGGTGGCCGAACCTCAGCTTCAGTGATTCTTCCTTGGTTTGTACTTGCAGTTGTATAGGGGAGGCAGCCATCTGTGTTACCATATCTACAGGGCTCAGGGCTCCCTTTCAGGGTCTCTCATTCAAATGCCATAGCACAGTCCATAAGCAGACTGACCATCCCCGCAGACTACTGGTATCTGACTTTAGTCCGGATTTTAACAAGCCATTGTGCCTCACTATCATGCCTGCTGCAGTAGGATTGTATGGCCCATGAAACTTCCATCTGATTCCCAGCTGTGTCTTGCAGTGTATGTCCAGTAAAATGGGTTCCCTGATCATTCTCAATTACCTGTGGTCAGCCATAGGCAGCAAAGAGACGCTCCAGGCCTCTTTTGGTCACCTGCTGGTCTGACAATGGGTAGGAAAAGCAACCAAAAGTCCAGTAGCTGTGTCCACACAAGTCATCACATACCAATATCCTTCTGACAAAGGTAGAGGCCCAATATAGTCTATCTGCCACCTGATGAGGGGTATAGGCCCTTTAGCTATTGTCCCATGTTGTTGTGGAATTCGGTGTATTTCCCTTTTGGAGCACACCACACACTCCTGCCAGGCTCTACTAACTTCTTCAAAGGTCAAAGGCAAGCCCCACTGATGGACTACAGCCCACATTGTCTTTTGCCCTGCATGCAACAAATGCTGATGTAGCCATTGGGCAATAGCAGAGGCAGGCTTTCCTTCTAACCAATGTATCTGGGCCCATTTATCTGTTTCATCATTTCCTGGGGATGCCAGTGGCAAATGATCTGTCACATGGTATACTGTAATTATTTTAGTTTGACCACAGGCCCATAAGTCTTGCCACAACTCTTGCCCACAAAGGGGTCGGTGACCAACCAGCCAGTTGGCATGTTACCAGGTTGGTAGCCACAGGGTCAAGCCCCGATAGACAGCCCAGTACAGACAACTATAAGGGAGGGCTCTTGGCTGATCACAAGCCACACAGCCTGCAATTTTGCCCATTGACTGCTCTTTCCCACACCA